TTTCTCTCTTCCTCCATCTGAAGCATTTCTATATTTCTGTCCTCCAGACTGCTGATTCTGTCCTCCATAATATCAACTCTGTTATTCAGGTAGTCCAGATTTTTCTTTATCTCATCCATTGTGTTTTTCATCTCCTACATTTCTGATTGGTTTTTCTTTATAGTTTCAATCTCTTTTGTGAAGAAGTTCCTGATTTCATTGAACTATCTGTATTTTCTTGTAACTCATTGAGTTTTTTTTATGATAGCTATTTTGAATTCTCTGTCATTTAGATTATAAATTTCTCTGCCTTCAGGATTGATTTCTAGGCGCTTGTCATTTTTTTTCTGGCCTGGAATATTTTATATTTTTTCAAACTGGTGGCATGGATTTGTGCCTCTGCATAGTGATAGTATCTGGTCGTACATTCCACCCGCTGCCACTGGGTAGGGGGTCAGGAGTTGTGTATTCTGAGCCTGCTGTGACCCCAGCTTGCTTGCTCGCAGCTGCTGCTTTTCTATCGTACACATGGATGCTCTGGCCAGTGGGCTATGCTGGAGCACCGGGTGGGAGGAAGAGCACTTTCTTTCACCTGTGCAATCCCAGGGGCTTATCACTCTGTCCTCCCTATCTGCTCTCCTGGGTTGCTCGCTTGATGAAGACACCCCTGCAATAGCTTAGTCACCTCTGTGTGGAGCTTTCCCATGGGCTGTGAGGGAACTTGGAAGGCAAAGTTGTTCCCTCAGAGAGCTGCCCCTCCCCCCTCTCCTCTCAGAGCCGTGCCTGGTCCCAGGCCCCGAGTCGCTGCCATTCGGGGAGGGAGAGGAGATCCCCTTACATCTTTCCACTTCCTCTGGGGGGTCCAGCACCTCCACCTTCAGAGGTATGGCTGCCTGGATCTCTGAGACATCTTTTGTGTTGTGTGAATATCCTCTGTTGGTATATGAATGTCCTTTTCATTGTATCTTAGAGAGGAGAGTCTAAAGGAAGAGCTCACTCTGCCATGATGCTGACGTCACTCCATTAGTAATTTTGTTGTTGTTGTTGTTGAGGAAGATTCGCCCTGAGCTAACATCCGTGCCAGTCTTCCTCTATTTTGTTTATGGGTTGCCACCACAACATGGCCACCAACGAGTGGTGTCAGTTCATGCCCAGGAACTGAGCTCAGGCTGCTGAAGCAGAGCACGCTGAACTTTACCACTAGACCATGGGTCTGGCCCCCATTAATAATCATTTTTATAGTTTATATTTGATCTTTATCATTCTTTCTGTTTTTTATATTTCCTTAGAATTTCTTTCTATTTTGGTTCCCCCTACTGTAGATAGTTATTTGCTATTACCTGATGCAGTGATTTCACTGATAGCCTTTTAAATTCTGCTTCAATTTACCTTAAATTTTAAAGACATATATTCTTAAATCTTTATTAAATTAAATGTAATAGGAATAGAGATTCTGATCCTCCTTTGAGGAAGATAAGGGGCTTGGGATTTTTGTGCCCTTTCACCCCCTGTTTTTGTTAATCTAAGGTCATCATGCTCATCGTATTTAATTAAAACTTCAAAAAATAATATAACCCTCCAAGCAACATTTAAAAAATATTCAGTATATTTTTGAATGGATAATCCAAATATATAGGTCGAAGTCAAAAGGAACAAAGAATTTTTTCTCCCACCCAATTTCTCAGCTTATAAATTCTCCTTTTCCTGTAACAACCAGTGTTACCAGTTTTTTGTGCTTCTTCCCAAGAATATTTTCTAAGTATATATAAACATATATGTATATAGAACCATACTCTATAGATTGATCTGCTCCTCCTTGATGTTTCACTGAATATACCTTAGTGATCATTCCATATTGGTATGGAGATGGAGCTTTTAAATAATTACTTAGTGTTCTATTGCATGGATAGATCATAATTTATTTGATCTTTCCATTATTGATTACCATTGAAATGTTTCTAATCTTTTGGTATTACAAACAATGTTGTAGTAATTATCCTTGTATATATGTTAATTTGCAAATATAAGAGTTTAAATAGAGGATACAATTGAGGAGGTAGAATTGCTCAGTATTCTCTTTTAAAAATTTGACAAATATTGCCAAATTGCTTCCCATAGATGTACCACTTTATACTCTCATCAAAGTATATGAGAGTGCCTGCACCCCATACAATCTCAATAAGAAATGTGCTTTCAAGAGTTTTCATCTTAATCAATTTGATAGGTAGGAAATGTTTGATTGTAGTCCGTGAGATTGAACATCTATGAGCTGTTTGAATTTTCTTTTCATATAAAAATCCTCTGTCAACTTTTCTGTCAGGAATATTGGTGCTTTCTTTTTGATATATGGGAACTTTTTTTTTTTTTTTGTGAGGAAGATCAGCCCTGAGCTAACATCCGTGCTAATCCTCCTCTTTTTTTGCTGAGGAAGACCGGCTCTGAGCTAACATCTATTGCCAATCCTCCTCCTTTTTTCCCCCCAAAGCCCCAGTAGATAGTTGTATGTCGTAGCTGCACATCCTTCTAGTTGCTGTATGTGGGACGCGGCCTCAGCATGGCCGGAGAAGCGGTGTGTCGGTGCACGCCCAGGATCCGAACCCGGGCCGCCAGTAGCGGAGCGCGCACACTTAACCGCTAAGCCATGGGGCCGGCCCTATGGGAACTCTTTATGCATTATGAAAACTAGTTTTTTGAGAGATTCACTGCAAATTTTTTTCCTTTTGTTTTTTATAAAACCATGAAAAGAAATCCTGAAAAAATTAAAAAACAATCATTTAAAGCAAGACATAAAAACCTACATTCAATCTATGCGCAAATTCTGTCAGTTCTATCTTCAAAGTATATCCAGATCCACCACCCTAATCCAAACCTCTGTCATCTCTTGCCTGGACTGTTGCAAAAGCCTAATAACTGGTCTCCCTTCTTCCATCTTGCCTCCCCCATCCCAGTCTTTTTTCTATATAGCAGTCAGAGTGATCTTTCTAAAATGTAAATAGATTGTGTCACTTATGCTCAGAAACCTCCAATGGCTTCTCACGTCAAAATAAAATCCACAGTTCCTACTATAGCCTACAAGGTTGTACATTATCTGATCCCTGTTACTTCTATGACTTCATCTCCTACCACTCTCCAGCCACTTTGCTACAGCTTCACTTTGACTTCTCTGCTATTTATTGAACATGCCATTCACAACTCCTTCTCAGATCCTTTGCTCTTACTGTTATTACTGCTTGAAATACTCTTTCTCCTGATATCCCATAACTTTCTCCCTCACTTTCTATCTAAATGCCACCCCTTGTCCTCATCTCACCCTTTATTTATGCTCTCTCTTAACTGTACTTTTCTTTTGAATCTGACATATCAATCATCTATTTTCATCTCCTCATCTGGAAGAACACTGCCCAATACAACTTTCTGTGATGATGGAAATGTTCTAAATCTGCATTGTCGAATAAAGTAACCATGCTAGCCACAATGTGGTTATTAAGAACTTGAAATATAGCTAATGTGATTAAGGTACTGAATTTTAAATTTTATTTAAGTAGCCACACATGAATACCAGCTACTGTATTGTACAGTGCAAGCATAGAATATATGAGAGAGGGAACCTTGTTTTTATTCACTGATGCAATCCAGTACCTATGTACCTGTAGATACTCTATGTAGTAGATACTCTATAAATATCTGTTGAATGAATAAATGAACAGAGATACCCATCAATCCTGTTCATCCCTGAATCCTTGACTCTTTTGATCTATAATTCCAGATTGAACACTTTTTAGTCATCTCAACCATTCCGGGTGTTCAGCAATGATCCTTTAGGTCCATGGGTCTTCTTTACACAGTTCAGCATTGTACATCAAAGATCCTAAGTTACATAAACTTTATAAATTAGACTAGAGCATACTTGGCAATGTGGTTACAGATAAAGGAAAATGCAAGACATAGGAGAGGTCTCCTCTATCACAGAGCTCATACAGTCACATGTCACTTAACAACTGGGATATGTTCTAAGAAATGTGTCATCAGGTGATTTTGTCATTGTGCATACATCATAGAGTGTATTTATACAAACCTGGATGGTATAGCCTACTACACACGTAGGCTTAAATGGTACTAATCTCATGGGACCACTGTCATATATTTGGTCCGTCATTGACTGAAAAGTCATTAAGTGATGCATGACTGTATTTGGAGAAAGTATTAAATGAGTGCATCCTTTCCTTTTGTGTGCTAGCCAGGCATCCATATAATGAGTTATACTTTTCCCAAGGCTAAAGAGCCCCAAATCTGTCCCTTTTCTCTCTTTATTCTCCCAAATAAGAGCTCTTTCAACTTTTGAAAATTCCCTGAAGATAGTATCCATCATGAAATTTAAGGAACCCACAATAAGCTACTCCCACTAGCTTTTTCTTATGAGAAAATTCTTATGACTGGAAATCCTTATGGCCATCCTCCATAATAATAATTATAGTTTTGGAGATGTGCTGGGCAGTTAGATGCTCTAAAAACTTAAAAACAAAGGTAGAATTTAAAAGAAAAGATGAACAACATAAGTGTTAGATCATTGGTCTACAAACTGTATTCCATGGCGCTCTTTCAGGAATTGCTACAAAGACCTCAACTCCACTCCTACTGCCTATCTCCAACCTTTCCTCAACCCTGTTTTACATATTTATGCCATTGTGCCAAATTATTTTCTTTGTCAAAGGGCACGACTTGGAATAGTTTGCAAATCACTGTGTTTACACCTTCTTCATTTATTGATTATCTCAGTAGGACTTTTGAAAGAAGCCAGATGGTAATGAGTTCAATGTTGAATTTTCTGACAGAAGGGTAATCAGTGTTGCTGATTCAAAGGTGATATATTTGGTTTGGATACTAGGAGTGCAGGTAATGAGGTTGGTATTATTATGAAAAATTGATGAGTGGGACATGTATTCTTGGAGGGTCCTATAGGCAGGGCCTTAAAAACTAGTTTTGGTTTATTTAAATTAAGCAAAGCTTATTTTTATAATTAGCAGGAAAACAGAGATCCACAACAAGCTTTTCGATTATGGCTTAAAAAAAAGCATGAAGAGCAGCTGAAAGAAAGAAAGACTGAAGAACTGCGAAAGCAAGAGGAATGCTTATACTTCCTTAAAGGAACAGAAGGCCGTGAAAGGGCCTTTAAACTGTAAGTCAAAGGCAGGACATTTTTTTCCCTTCCTAAAGGTCATTTTAGGATGTTAAATAATCAATAAAGTTTGAAAAGAAACACCAAAATATTTTATCTCTTACATTACATACCTATTCAATTTTAAATCCACACTTTAAAAAATGTGTGAGAAAATTCTTTAACTCCATACTTTGAATATTTTTACCATTCTTTCTTGAAGATATTTCTCAATACTAAAATTGCTTCTTATGGCACCAATGTGATAGCCTTTGATAGCCTACCATTTATTTATTTGTTTGTTAGTTGATTTGTTCATTTCTTAGAGAAATGGGCCAAAGATTGGTTACAGCTTCTCCTACATAGTCCTCAGAAAAATTGAATAGAGAGTTGCATTTACCAAGAAATATTTTTCTGTAAAGAAAGGCAGTCAGGCTGAGGAGGAAGATATGTATAGACTATTGATGTTATTTTATTTAAGCAAGTTTTGTAGACTTAAATTTGTTAGAATGTGGACTTTTCCTTCACCCTTTTTGAAGTTTTTTATGCTTAGGCTTATTTTTCCATTTTAAGGAAGAACTATTTTATGCACTGAAAAGCAAGAGCTCTATAATTTCCCTACCAAGTAGAGGAAGGCAACATTTCTGCATGCTGGTATTTTTAACCTGGTTAAGTAATGTTTTAGAATACAGCTAGCTGCAAAAAATAAGTTATTTGGAATCTTCAAATACTTATTTGCTTAGAAAACCACATTTTAAAAAAAGGATAGGACCTATATCACATATAAAATATTGTATTTATTACTAAAAAACAATTATGTTGGCAGTTTCATTCTAAGTCAAACTTAATTTCAAACACTTGATACCAAATGTAACCATGCTTTCTTGTGTAAGCCTGGGGTATAAGCCTGAAATTTTTCAGTTAATACCTTAATAATTTGTGTTGTGACTACAGCATTTTGGTGTAAAGAAACTAAACTTCCTTTAATTGTCTATAGTAATAACTTTATAGTATGAAGAGCATATTTGGTTGATACTCACCAGATCTGATCATGTCTCTTTCTACAGCTGGCTGAGAAGGAAACGGATAGAAAAACTAGCAGAGCAACAAGCTGCCAAAGAAAGAGCTAGACAGCTCCGACTAGAAGCAAAGCATTCTAAACACTTACAGTACCACCTATATAATATGCCAGAAGCCAAATCTTTTCGTTTTACTGATCCTTACAACTGACAGTATCTATTAAATACTTCATTTGGAAGCTGCTATCCTCCGAGTTTTGCATATCATTTCTTATGGCCTGTGTGCTTTGGTCATACTCTGAATTATGGAAATGGTACATATCTTTTGGTGATGTTGACAGTGAATTTATCTTTTATTTTTTAACACTAGAACAAAATAAATTTCTTCTCTCGCAGTGTTGTAATGTGTTATACCATCTCTTAGTCCATGCAATAAATTGCACAACAAATGAACTCTACATTCCTTTACTTCCAAATTATTTTAACATTTCTAGCTGGAAAGAACACAAGAAAGGGACAGAGCTTCATTCTTAGTTCCTATTATCATTAAAAAAATTGCAATAGAACATTCCATAAGGTGGGAGTGACCTCTTAAACAAGTCTGGTTCAAGGCCTTATACAATGTCCTGTTTATGTCAGTTTTGAATTTGAATAGCTGTGGCAAGCTAGGCAATAGGGTAGGCCTACTTCCACATGTTTTTTTTAAAAAGCAAAGATAATAACAATTATGCATAATACTACTTTAGATATGTTACAAAATCAGCCAGCACTTCTTGAGAGTTTATAATGTGTCTGGTATTGTGGTTGTAAATGCTTCACATAAATAATTCGATATAATGCTTATAACAACTCTATTAGTCTTGTTTTGCAGATGAGGAAACTAAAGTACAGAGGTGAATAGCTTGCTCACAGACTCTGATCTGTATGATTGCAAAATCCTTGCTCTTAGTTATATTATAAAGCTTACATACCTTGGTAGACATTTATGAAATATTTAAGACTATACAGGAATCCGATGTGTGGAGGAACAGTACCCTTGATATGTGTAGAAGCATTTAAGGGGTGGAGGACAAAGGTAAACATACAAGTGTGATGTAGAGTGGAGAATCACTATAGGAGTTCTATTAAAGCTTCAGAAGACAAGGTTCTTATCAACTGGGTATTTGCACCTCAATTACTTGACCATAATTAGAAAACACAGAGAACTATTCAATCCTGTCTCTGCTTCTTACAGCACTTTGAGCACATACCAAGCAATTTAACATTTCATTATAACTAGTCTTGTGTCATTTAAAGTTATCCTAAGGATAAGAACCAATTTGAAGTTTAAATATTCCACATTAAAAAAAAAGTTTGGAATTTTGATAGAGATTGCAGTGAATCTGTAGATTGTATTGGGTAGTATTGCCATCTTAGTAATACTGTCTTCCAATCCATAAACACAGAATGTCTTTTCATTTAGTGCAGCAAGGTTTTGTAGTTTTCAGTGTACAAGTCTTTCACCTCCTTGGTTAAATTTATTCATAGATATTTTATTCTTTTGGATTCTATTGCAAAAGGACATGTTTTCTTAATTTCCTTTTTGGGTTGTGTACTCAAAACACAAATACAAATGATTTTTGTGTATTAATGTTGTACCCTGCAACTTTGCTGAATTTATTAGCACTAGATTTTTTGGTGAATTTTTTGGAATTTTCTATATATAGGATAATATCTTCTGCAAACAGAGATAGTTTTACTTCTTCCTTTCCAAATTGGATGCCTTTTATTTCTTTCTCTTGACTGATTACTCTGGCTAAACCTTCCAGTATGCTGTGTAAGAGTAGTGGTGAAAGTAGGCATCCTCACTTTGTTCTTGATCTTAGGAGGAAAGCTTTTAGTCCTTCACCATTGAGGGGGATGCTAGCTGTGGGTTTTCTATAAATGCCCTTTACAAAGTTGAAGTTCTACTTTTATTCCTCTATTCTACTTATTCCTATTCTTCTGTTTTTCTGAGTGTTTTTATCATGAAAGGGTGTTGGATTTTATCAAATCTTCTTTCTGCATCTAGTGAAATGATCATGTGGTTTTTCTCCTTTGTTCTATTAATGTGATATATTATATTGTTCATTTTCTTATGTTGCACCACCCTTGCACTCCTGAGATAAATACAGTTTGGTCACGGTGTGTAACCCTTTTACTGTGCCATTGCATTTGATTTGCTAGTATTTTGTTGAGAATTTTTCATTTACATTTCATGAGATAATGGTCTGTAGTACTCTTTTCTTGTGGTGTCTTTGTGTGGCTTTGCTATCAGGGTAATACTGGCCTCATAGAATGAGTCAGGAAGTGTTCCCTGTTCCCCTCATTTATTTATTTATTTGAGAGTTTATAATGTGTCAGGTACACATTATGTTGTGTATCAGATGTTGTGTACCAAATGTTTCTTTCTTTCTTCTTTTCTTTCTTTCTTCCCTCTCTCTCAGCTAACATTTGTTGCCAATCTTCCTCTTTTTTGCTGAGGAAGATTGGCCCTGGGTGAACATCCATGCCCATCTTCCTCTACTTTATATGGGATGCCTGCAACAGCGTGGCTTGATGAGCAGTGCATAGGTCCACACCCAGGATCTGAACCCGTGAACCCTGGGCCACTGGAGTGGAGCGCATGATCTTAACCGCTAAGCCACCAGGCTGGCCCCTCTTTTATTTTTTTTTGGAAGAGATTGAGAATGATTGGTATTAATTCTTCTCTTAATAGTTGGTAGAATTCACCAGTGAAACTATTCAGTCCTGGACTTTTGTTGGGAGTTTTTTTTAATAGACTTCATTTTTTAGGGCAGTTTTAGGTTCACAGCAAAATTGAGCAAAAAGCAGAGTTCCCATATAACCCCTGCTGCCCCACGTCCTCAAAACCTCCTCCACTATCAATCAACATCCCTCACCACAGTGATACATTTGTTACAGTCAATGAACCTACATTGACACATCATTATTACCCAACATCTGTCGCTTACATTGGGATTCACTCTTGGTCTTGGGAGGTTTTTGATTACTGATTTAATCTCTACTTGTTATAGGCCTGTTCATATTTTCTATTTCTTCTTGAGTCACTTTTGATAATTTATGTTTCTGGAATTTATCCATTTCATGTAGGTTACTTAATTTGTTGATGTACAATTGTTCCTTTTTTATTTATATGAGGTTGGTAATAAAGTCCCCACTTTCACTTCTGATTTTAGTTATTTACATCTACTTTTTTTCTTTGTCTGGCTACAGGTTTGTCAATTTTGTGAATCTTTTCAAAGAACCAACTTTTGGTTTTCTTGAAACTCTTGTTTTTTATTCTCTCTTTTGTGTAACTCCACTCTAATTTCAATTTCCTTCTTTATGCAGCTTTGGGTTTAGTTTGCTCTTTTTTTCCTAGTCCATAAGGTGTAATGGTAGGTTCTTGATTTGAGATTTTTTATTTTTAGCTGGTATCTGTATTATTATTATTATTGATACTCTTAAACCAATTGTAGAAGTGTGCCGCTAGTTTCTGGTTACAAGAGTGTATGTACAATTTTTTTTTAAGTTGTGATAAAATATATATAACATAAAATTGACCATTGTTTAAATGTACAATTCAGTGGCATTAAGTACATTCATACTGTTGTACAACCATCACCACTTTCCATCACCAGAATTTTTCATCATCCCAAACTGAAACACTTTACCTATTAAAAACTCCCCATTCTGCCTTCCCTTAACTCCTGGTAACCACTATTCTACTTTCTGTCTCCAGGAATTTGATGATTTCAAGTACTTCATATAAGTGGAATCATAAACTATTTGTCTTTTTCTTTCTGATATTTCATTTAGTGTAATATTTTAAAGGTTCATCTATGCTGTAGCATGTATCAGATTTTCATTCTTTTTTTTTTTTATAATTTTATTTATTTTTTCCCCCAAAGCCCCAGTAGATAGTTGTATGTCATAGTTGCACATCCTTCTAGTTGCTGTATGTGAGACACGGGCTCAGCATGGCCAGAGAAGCAGTGCGTCAGTGCGCGCCCAGGATCCGAACCTGGGCCGCCAGCAGTGGAGCGCGCGCACTTAACCGCTAAGCCACGGGCCCAGCCCCAGATTTTCATTCTTTTTAAGGCTGTATAATATTCCATTGCATGTATATACCACATTTTGCTTAACCGTTCATCCATCAAAGGATGCCTGTTTTACTTCAGCCTTTTGGCTATTGTGAATAATGCTGCTATGAACATTGGTATACAAATATCTGAGTCCTTGCTTTCAGTTCTTTTGAATATCCACCTAGAAGTGGAATTGCTGGGTCATATGGTAAATTGTATGTTTAATTTCTTAAGGAACTGTCATACTGCCTTTAATAGTGGCTGCAACATTTCATATTCCCACCAGCAATGCATAAGGGTTCCAATTTCTCCACATCATTGCCAACACTTGTTATTTTGCTTTTTTGATAATAGCCATCCTAATGGGTATGAAGTGATCTCAATTTGCATTTCCCTAATGCTTAGTGATGTTGAGCATCTTTTGATGTGGTTTTTGGACATTTGTATATCTTTTTGGAGGAATATCTATTCATGTCCTTTGCTCATTTTGAAATTGGATTGTTTGTTTCTTGGTTGTTGATTTGTAGTTCTTATTTATTCTGGACACTAGACTCTTATTAGATATAGGATTTGCAAATTTTCTCCCATTCTGTGGGTTACCTTTTCACTCTGTTGATAGTGTCCTTTGCTGTACAGAAGTTTTTAATTTCGATGAAGTTCAGTTTATCTGTTTTTCTTGTTGTTATTGTTGCCTGTGCTTCTGGTGTTGTATCCAAGAAATCATGGCCAAATCCAATGTCATGAAGATTTTCGTCTATGTTTTCTTCTAAACGTTTTATACTAAATAAACCTCAAGGAAAGGCTGAAGAATCAATTGTAAATAGTATAAGCTAGATGAAGACTTGAACTGAAGCATATCATTCTCAGGGAAAAAAATCAATATTCAAAATGAAGAAGGTAGAGAAATTTGCCACTTGAAAGTATAAATATAACTCAGATGAACCAGATTAAAAATATCGTTAAGTTGAAAATAAAATAAATATATTGTTATTTGACCAGATTTGTCTTTTGAAGATTTCTCTACTGATAGGCACTTCTGCAACTAATTAGTGTAATTTGGTATAAACCGTTTGTGGACATTTTTAAAGGCCTATAAAAAAGTGTTTTATGATGGTCCATTATAAATAAACAATATATATTACATAATATAAATTAATTGATGGATTGCATTTTTGAGTTTGCACGTTCTAGAAATATCCTACTTTTTTCGCCATATTTTAGAAATAGATTGGATATTCCTGTTGTGTTGCATTTGCCAAAATGAGCTCAATAATTAGAATCTGTTTCTTTTATATGTC